CAAGTGAGTGCTTACGATATCGGGCGCTCCAGTGGCGCAATTGGTTAGCGCACGGTACTTATAATCAGTAACTTGTGAGCAATGCCGGGGTTGTGAGTTCGAGCCTCACCTGGAGCAGTGCGAAAGTTTTTTGGGAACCCCATTTGATTATGGAAATTTCTAGATGCATAATAATTTAGGGCGCCATCGCAAACATATAGAAATAAGAAAAAAAAAACAACAACAAAGGTAGTAGAATTGGATTTTGGGGAATACCAGTAATGCAGAAAAGTCTGGAAAATCGCCTAAGGGTGAAATTCCATAAAAATGCAAATATGAACTACTAGACTTGATGCATGTGAATCACTCGTGGCTTTGTGTATATGACCGGCAATCTATGACGTGATTGAATCCAAAGTCCATATTTCCAATATTAATTCCGGAATTTTCTAGAAGCTTGTAGAAGATTCTATGAGCTCTGCCAAATGCAAACTATGTAATTTTGGTTATTGATGGGTAAAAACATTATTCCCAGGAAATGGGAGGGTACCCTCCCATATGAGGGTAGCCCCCTCATATAAATAATCTGCCCAATTTTCACTGGCATTTCGAGTTTTCTGATGGGTACAACAAATACTTCCAGAAAATGTTCAATATTTCTCTTGTTTTGCAATAGCCCAGCCTAAATAAGAGACCTTCCCCAACGTCCACCTTATGCTCCAGGTTATAAAATGTTCGGTCTAAGGCCCATATTTTAGATTATTTTGTAAGCCAAGTACAAATCATTGGTGTTATGGAGGTCTCCTCTAGCAGGAATATACGACACGGTTTGTTCGAAATGAATGACGTAAACAAATTTGTACAGACTGGACCGACAATTGTCCCATGAATACACCTTCTACTGTGATAATCCTGTGTATGTAGGCTCTCCAACATCATTACTTAAAATTACTTAAAAAAAATTCCAAGCACGTCAGTCTTGTGCGCAGCTCTTCCAATTTGACAGGCCATGTTCCGAAATGTTCTCCTCCACTTGATCTTTCCATCGAATTCGTGGCCTTCACCTTAGCCAACGTAGTCGATACGTTTGGCAATGCCGATGTCCAATAATAGGTGGTAAAACTCATGGTTCATTCGAAAGCGATATTCATCGTCAACGACGATCGGCTCATAGATCACACGACAAATTATCACCTTGTCTGAATCCTCGTTCGGTATTAAAGGACTCCGAGAAGTCCAACATCATTATAAATTATATTATTTAAAGGTTAACAACTTGTGTTTCATACTGGGCTCCTCCGACTTCCCTGAACAATATCAGATACTTTTGACGTTCGTAAATGTCGTTCGGTTCGTAATTGTTCTCTTTAGAGCGACTGGTCCATTGTATTTCCCAATAATGGTCCCTTGTATTCCCCCAATAATATTCAATCGGACTAAAGACTAAATCGAACGAATATGCAAAATTTCGATTTGCGGCGAGTTGCTGTTCAAAAAAGTAAGAAAGTAATTTACAATTTTATCCACTGGGAACTTAAAAATAAATCCTCTTAGAAAAATCTCTTGGTGTCTTGATATTCTAATCCAATAAATAGTTTTTTGACTACGCAAATTTCTCTTAAATTACTTTCCTCATATTTCATATTGTCATCATAACCGCAATAAAAGATTTATTGCAAAAATTTTGATATTTGCATAGGAATAATAAACATTTTACAATCCGACTTGAATCATAATTTCTTATCATCCTCATCGCCGTGCATTCAACCCTTTCAGTGCAGCCGAATTCTTATAGACAAACAAACGATTACGACATCAAGCGCTCCAGTGGCGCAATTGGTTAGCGCACGGTACTTATAATCAGTAACTTGTGAGCAATGCCGGGGTTGTGAGTTCGAGCCTCACCTGGAGCAGTGGCTTTTTTATGCACACACACTACGCCACTGTTTGAAAAAAGGGGATTACAAAAAAAAAAAAAAAATGGTTACTGACTGTCTTTGCTTAACGGAGTTAATGTGTTGAGATTAGTATATATCGTTCTCTCTCTTCGATTTTTTTGTTTTTATACCCTTCACCACACTGTGGTACAGGGTATTATGTCTTTGTGCATATGTTTATAACAGGCAAAAGAAAACGAGATAGACACATGGTTCCTTTTCAGAATATGCATAGAATCACTTTCTGAGTCGATTTATGCATGTCCGTCTGTAGATGTTAAATTGTAAACAAAGTACAGGTCGCATTTATGATCCGATTTGGATGAAATTTGGCACAAGTCACTTATTTAGCCCAAAGACGAACCCTATGGAAATTTAAGAAAATCGGCTCAAATTTAGACATAGCTCCTATATATATTTTCGTCCGACTTAAAGTAAATGTGGCACCAAAGTCCCTATATATCTTTAGATTTGCACGAAATTCGGCATAGAGTACTGAATTAGTTCCAGAATGATGTTTGCCAAGTTTCGAGAAAATCGGTTCAGATTTAGTTATATCTCCCATATATAGTTTCGTCCGAATTAAGGTAAATAGTGCACCAAAGTCTCTATTTATCTTTCGATTTGCACAAAATTTGGCATAGAGAATTGAATTAGGTCCAGAGTGATGTGTGCCATGTTTCGAGAAAATCGGTTCAGATTTAGATATAGCTCCCATATATGGTTTCGTCCGATTTAAGGTAAATAGTGCACCAAAGTTTCTATATATCTTTCGATTTGCATGAAATTTGGCATAGAGTACTGAATTAGGTCCAGAATGATGTGTGCCTTGTTTCGAGAAAATCGGTTCAGATTTAGATATAGCTCCCATATATAGTTTCGTCCGATTTAAGGTAAATAGTGCACCAAAGTCTCTATATATCTTTCGACTTACACGAAATTTGGCATAGAGTACTGAATTAGGTCCAGAATGATGTGTGCTAAGTTTTGTGAAAATCGGTTCAGATTTATATATAGCTCCCATATGAATTTTTGTACGATTTAAGGTGAATGGGGCACCAAAGTCCCTATATATCTTTAGATTTGCACGAAATTTGGCATAGAGTACTGAACTGGTTCCAGAATAATTCCGAGAAAATCCTTTCATATTTATATATAGCTCCCATATATAGTTTAGTCCGATTTGCGGTAAATGGTGCACCAAAGTCCCTAAATATATTTCGATTTGTACGAAATGTTGCATAGTGTACTGAATTGAGTCTAGAATGACGTGTGCTAAGTTTCGAGAAAATCGGGTCAGATTTATATATAGCTCCCAAGTATATTTTCGTCCGATTTAAGGTAAATGGGGTACCAAAGTCTCTATATATCTTTCGATTTGCACGAAATTTGGCATAGAGTACTGAATTAGGTCCAGAATGATGTGTGCTAAGTTTCGTGAAAATCGGTTAAGATTTAGATATAGCTCCCATATATATATTTTCGTTGGATTTTAGCTAAATGCTGCACCGTGTGACACGAAATTTTGCACAACGTATTGAATTGAGACTAGACTGACGTTATTGCGTTTTTTGAAAATGGTGCAGAGCAGATACAGCTCCATATATGTTTCAAATGGGTGTTTGATTGAGATTAAATTTTAAGAGTACGAAAACCACTTTAAACTTGCCCGAATGAAATGCAATTTAGCATAGGTTCCAGAACGGTACACAGATCACATATTTAAGTTCGTTCAATATCATGTTAATGTTCTTTCGAGAAGGAGGAGTCTGTTAGGAGACATATGCAGAACCCAAAGTGGTGAAGGGTATCATATAGTCGGCACAGTCCGACTTTACTGCTTTCCTTACTGGTTTTCTTAATAGATTCACAATAATCCACTCTTTAATTCCATTATCTAATAAAGTGCCTTTAACAATTCAAACTCTTGTATTTCCCCCACAAACTACTTAAACGGTTAAGAATCGAATCTATGCCAAGGGATAGTAATAATAATGTGTTTACACACACTCATTTACATAGTACGTCAAAATGTTAATGCATTTAAGGCCCTAAGTGTATTTACTTTCATAGTTAAGAGTAGCTAAATGTCAGAATAATACTCCTCTAAACTGACAATGTAAACAACAGCATAGTGGAGGTTAGACGGTGGCCGATGGTCCAGGGCAATGATGGTGAGGAGGAGTATATATTTGTTGGATTAAACATGATTTCCAATGCGGAGACTTATTAAATACTGATAGATGTATGTTTAGAGGTACTTTAAATTATGCTTATTACATCACTTAACTATAATGATAATCGGAAATTTTAAAAACTGTTTTTGGTTTTCCTCTAAAAGCAATTATCTCTTAAAATAACTAGTAGGGAAAATATTTTTGTGTATCTCTTCAACAATTTTGTGCCCATGGCACCATTTCAGCGAATTTCTATTTAGAATATGATACCACTTCAAGAGCTGAAGGAAACTGTACACCATTAAGATAAAAATTAATTTTCAAATTACTTAAGGGTGGTCCAATGGAAAAAAATTGAAGCTTAAAAACAGAATTCGTTTCGAATTTGTATTCAAAAATTGTAAATAACTACATTGTTGATGGCATCACTTAAAATACATAGTAGAGTTCCATTAATTTGCAATGACCTGTTTTGTGCTCCTAGTTTTATTAATGCGCTGGGCAGGCTTTCAATTCAGTGTTGTGATTTTTTTAAAGAATCTTCTTCCAAGGAAAAACTTTGTAATTGTATATAAATTCCTTCGTAAAGGCAAAGGATACATTGTTGTTGTATCATTATTCCAGCGACAGTTCATTATATTTTTTACGAGCGTACAAATGCATTTTGGTGAGAATTTTCCAGAAAAATTCAAGCGTCATAGTATGATTTCTTTATATTTGGCTGGAAAATCACAAGTGGCTATCGTAAGAGCACTACATCATTTAAATGTGAATAAATTTTTGTATTTCGTACCATCGCTCGTTACCGTGATACTGGTAGCGTAGCCCGACGTCAAGGAAGTGGACGGAGAAATCGTTCGAAAAGTAAAGAAACGATTTGATCGAAACCTGCGTCGCAGTAGCAAAAAATGGCTCGTGAGCTGGACATATCACAACATTCCATTCGCCAAATATTGAAAAAAGAGCTCGGGGTAAAGCCATTGAAATTCCATTGAAATGCAAGAACTTACACCGCAACAGAAAGAAAATAGACTCAAAAGAGCTAAAGCCTTGCTTCGCTTGGCCGAAAGTGGTAAACTGACGAAATTCGGTTTTCTCCGATGGAAAATATTCGTCGTCCAGCCGTTTGTAAACAAACAAAATGATCGTGTTTACTTGCCAAAGAGGTCAGCTGAAAAAAATGTGGACCTTCGATTGGCCACCATAAGTCAAGCGCCGGCCATGGTGATGGTGTGGGCAGCCATAACAGCCCATGGTCGTTCTCCACTCGTATTTATCGACCGTGGCATCAAAATAAATGCCGAATATTATCGCGAAAATATTCTGGAGGGTGTATTAAAGACTTGGGCACGCAAACTGTTTTGGTCTCAGACCTCGGACATTCCAACAGGACTCAGCACCATCGCACTCAGCACGTGCCACCCAAGAATGGTTACAAAATGGGGTTCCTCACTTCATTTCCAGCGCACAATGGCCACCAAAATCTCCGAATACCAATCCGTTGGACTATTGTGTCTGGAGTATTTTGGAAAGCAAGGTTGGCACTGAAAAATGCCAAAGTATCGATCACCTCAAGCAAGCGCTTCGCCGGGAATGGGCCAAAATTCCGCAGAGTAACATTTGGGCAGCGTATGACAGTTTCATTGGCCGTTTGAAGACAATAATTCTTGCCATTTTGGGCTATCATTCAATAAAATTAAAAAAAATATATATAAAAGTTATGGCGTTTGAATGTAGCCATGTGTCGCATTTTCGGATTTTATCTGAGTTTCATAAAATGTCACCGTGTGGCACAGTTTCGATGGAGTCGGATACGATCAAGCAGCAGTGTCCGTTTTTTCAAATTTTGTTGTGTATTGAATTTACAAATTGTTTAAATTGTGATACTGTGAACATACAAGAAGGAGTGGATCGGTAATACCCAACTTTAAACGTTGTATATACAGGCTTGATTGAAAAATTCGGTTGATCAAAGAGGTAGCAGAGGAACTGGTCGATATTCCCAATATTTAAATTTAAATGAATATTGGAAGAAAAGTGTGCAAAGATTGGATGTTAACGTTTCCTCCTGTCGAGAATTATCTGCCATTGTATGTACACTGGTGGTCAAAACTAATTTTTACAAATTTTGCTAGTAATCGACCATAGCTCGTTCACGCTGATTTATTAATCGAATATTTCTACGAAATCATTTTTTGCAAAAAATTTTTTTCACAATCACTGGTAATTAGCTGTTTTATATAAAAAACTCAAAAAACGACATCTTTATCTTTGAAAATGTTATGTGGCATTTATATATTTTTGGAGGAGGGTTTGCTAACCAAGGACCAGGGCCCTTAAAGTGTCCAAAGTCGACAGTATAAATATAAGAAGTAAATGACAAATCCTCTAGGAAACAAAAAATATGTCGCTTGGAAAATGGGGTTAGTACCTTCAAAATACCTTAAGTAGAACTGAGCCTTTTATGTCGGCAGATTTGTTATACTTTGAACAACCAAAATACTAAATTGTAGAGCCTACGGTTGGAAAATGGGACTAAGACTTCATAATGATGGAGAGAATAAAATTTCTGATTTTATTTTACATATCGACGTCTTTTCCAGGATCTACTGTGTACATCGCTCTTAACTATGCTCTATGCTCTATGCTTCAGGCTAGCTAGAATGTCTTTTTGAGGTCTTCTATAGCTGAAAGGTTTTTCTAAAATTTTGAAAATTTTTCTGACAATTTTTTTTCAGAGAGTTTTGGATTTTTGATGAAAAGTTTATAAAATATTGATTCTTTTTGGGAGAAGTACTAGAAGGAGAGGACTGACGGGTCCCACCTTCGGACTTGATCTAGACTTCGGACATTCGATTCGCCTGATATTGGATTTATAAATATTGCTATTTTGTGGAGGAGGTACCAGAGGGAGTGGACCACTGGGCTCCATCTTCGAATTTGATCTACGCTTGGTAATGATAATAGGTTGGGCAAAGTTTGATTCAAATCGGACATTCCATTCGCCTAATATTGGATTTGTAAATACATATTAAAAATGTTGACCATATGTGGGGTGGTTCAAGATGGAATGGGCCAATGGGTCCCATCTTTGGACTTGATTACTGGTAAAGATAATAGATTGTACAAATCGGATAATCCGTTCACATAATACTTAAATAATTTTTATTTTAAATTTTTACCATTTTGTGAGGGAGTTACCAGAAGGAGTGGACCCTATATTCGAACTTGAACTAAGTTTGGAAGAAATATTATGATGTGCAAAGTTTTGATGAAATCGGTTACTCCCTTCGAGAGTTATCGTGCGCACCAGCCAGACGGACGTACATGCATAAATCGACTCCAAAACAGATACATGGGATATAAAACCAAAGTGTATATAGCCCCAGTCATTTCATAAAATAAATATAATTATTAGTATACCTTAAAAGTGCTGAACATTAATACAGACGTTGCACCTAAGGATGAAGCTATATATGTAGTTATTGATACTGAAATATGTTTTAGACACGTGTCAGAAATCCTCAAAATATCAAAAATTGGAGGTGCCGGAATGTGAGGGCTATACTAAAACGTGAACCGATAGGTAATTTTTAGTAAGAAAATGTGCAAACTAAACTAAACAAGAGTTAATTCGCATAAAAACGTGTCTGAACACCTCAAACACCGAATATTGAGGGGAGACCGTTATATGTGTGGAATATCCCAAACCTGGAACATTTTTAATACCAAACATCATAGTGCGTCCAAAACTTGTCCAGTGAATTTAACTTACCCTCTATCCAAAATGCGAAGAGAGCAAAGTATTTTTAGTACGCGATTATGATAGCAGCAATAATCTGCTGCCTAAAAGTATGCTATACTTCTCGTCAATGTATATGTTGTACGATAAATTGGAGAAAAAAACTGATATGAGGCAAACATAATGTTCACTGGCTAAAGGTATGCCAAGTTTTTTTTTTTCAAATTTCTTTACAATTTTAGAATCACATGAGTAAAAAATTTACCAAGTTGATAGACCTTGAGAAAATATTCGTTCAAAAAGCAAGCCTTCCTAAAAAACATTTTTTTATAAATCCACGCCTTCTTTTGGGGTCCTCAAAAATATTTTTTTTATATATCCACGCCTTCTTTTGGGGTCCTCAAAAATATTTTTTTTATATATCCACGCCTTCTTTTGGGGTCCTCAAAAATATTTTTTTTATATATCCACGCCTTCTTTTGGGGTCCTCAAAAATATTTTTTTTATAAATCCACGCCTTCTTTTGGGGTCCTCAAAAATATTTTTTTTATAAATCCACGCCTTCTTTTGGGGTCCTCAAAAATATTTTTTTTATAAATCCACGCCTTCTTTTGGGGTCCTCAAAAATATTTTTTTTATAAATCCACGCCTTCTTTTGGGGTCCTCAAAAATATTTTTTTATAAATCCACGCCTTCTTTTGGGGTCCTCAAAAATATTTTTTTATAAATCCACGCCTTCTTTTGGGGTCCTCAAAAATATTTTTTTAATCCACGCCCTGTGTTCTGTTTAACATTTTTATTAAAATATGTTTAGAACTTTTCAAACATACAAGTAACACATTCACAAGGTCCGTTCCGTACGAAAAGGTCAAATGGGGTGGTCGGGAAACATAACAACTAAATTTAAACGATATTGGAAAAAAATGTACCGAACACACATTTCCAATAATGAGGGTCCCCAGTGTTTAATAATGTCTGTGTGTTGTGCGTGTTTGCAGACAAACATATGTATGTGTGCGTGCGTGTGTTTTGTTTGATTTGGCAAAAGGCTATGTTGTTAAGCGTGAGGAGGAGGCCGTGGATGGTCATGGTGGATGGGTGTGTAATGTTGGCAAATATTTTCTGTTAATCGTGGGTGTGTATTTTCCACTTGTCACTGCCAGGATATGAATCGAGCTTGTCTGTGTGTGTATGCGTGCATGAGCCTTTCCAGCTATTCATTTGAATCCTATCGGCAATTGTGGCATTAAGAAGTCGCCATAATAATCATTAGAAATTAACAACACCATCATCGTCGTCGTCGTCATCGGCATCATCGTTGTAGCTATGATGACTATCTGTGTGACTGACTGGTAGTTTGGTGTTTGGTTCAGTGATTTCTTAATAACCACGTTGTTCTATGGCTATGATATGGCCTTGTGTGCAAATATACATGCAGATGTGTGTGTATGTGTATGAATGTGATCGTTATTGCGAGCCTAGTAAACATTGAAGTGTGTTTACGCTTCAATACAACTGTGAGTGCCTGGCTTTCATTTTCCATATTTAATTGGTGTTGGTGTAGGCGGGTGTGTGTTGGTAGTTTGCGAACACATACTTCCACTGGGGAGTATGTGTTTGCATTTTCCGACCCGCCAGGACCCTGTAATGTAATTCTTTTTGGCAATAATACCAATAACCATAAGATTTGTATGGCAAATATGCCGTTTATTGTTTGCTGTCTTGTTGTTGTCATTGTGCGTGTGAGGGAATGTCTTGGGGATGGGTGTGTGTGCGAGGACAGTTTTCTGTGCTAAATATCCTAATTAGAAACGTATGATTTTTTATGTTGTTACTTCCACTTTTAATGGTGTGTAATGGATAAACACCTTGGAGACCAAAGAGAGAGATATTATTGTCGATGATTAGAAGGATATTTGATATCTGCAGAGGGGTATTTGGAAGGTATGGTTATAAGAACTGAAAATTATTTGAGGTTAACTTGAAAAATAGTCTTTAGTAAATCCAGGCCTTGTTTTGATCCCTGAAAAATAGTGTTTAATAAATCCAGGCCTTGTTTTGATCCTTGAAAAATAGTCTTTTGTAAAACCAGCCCTTGTTTGGTTCTTAAAAAATGTATTAAAGAATAAATCCACGCCTTGTTTGGTTCCCCTACTAGGGTGGCGTAGGGGATGATAGATACCAAGCAACGGCTATTAGCTTTAACATGGCGAAGTCCAGGCTTATCTTGGTCCCTCTTTCATCTCAATTGTGGATACTGACCTCCCCGCCGTGCCAGCTATTTTCATCACCCGATGAAATAGTGAGCTAATATGTGCCGCGAGTTTACCCATAAGAACTATAAACAAAAATGGGTTGAGACGTCAGGTTAGTTGCCCTTTCTCGGAAAACCCAACCTACTATGAAAAAGCAATGAAAAAGAAAACCAAATCCCCTAATGTTGACGACCCCGCAAACGTATAAAGGTCTACCATCTGCGAATCTGCACTTGGAATGTGCGCACATTGTACAGTGTTCGCTTTGGCGGATGTACTCTAGAAGTACAAAGCCGATAATATTGCCTTACAGGAAATGCGATGGAAAGGGACTGGCGTAAGTAAAGCAGATGATAAGGTCCTGTATTATAGCTGCCATGAAACGAGACATGAATTTGGCTGCGGATTTATGGTTACCAGGAGAATAAAAGACCTCGTCTCCAGATTCACTTTGGTGCACCATATACATAAAATCGGACAAAAAGATATATGGGAGCTATATCTAAATCTGAACCGATTTTCAGGAAATGTATGTTAACATCATTCTATACCTAA